ATGATGAGTTCAAAGTACAAACAAAGCCAGCCAGCAGCAATAACACAATGACATATAATTCGAATGAGACTATAAAACATAGTTAATGCAAAAGTGTTGGTTGCCTGCTGAGCCACTTAAAGCAAATTACAACAAGAAAAAAGTACAAAAAATCAATTTTTAATGGCGCCTACTAGACGAATTGTGCGGTGGTCTAGCGTTAAGTCAATAAATTGTTTCTTTTTTTTTGTAAGTTAGTTGTTGGTTTTTGGAAGGCTATTACTTATTTCCTCCTTGCAGCAAAGTAGGCAACAATGGCAAATAAAGGCAACAAAGTGCAACAGCACGCAGTTCAGCATATTGTTTCGATGCGAAAAATATTGCATTTAATCGACAGTTATTTCCTTATAATTGCATTTGCCAGAATTCTTGCGCTCGTACCTTTAAAATTTGTCGAGTTGGATGAGACGGCGCAGCGTATACGTAACTTTGATTTTACTCAATGCAAGCAAGCGCGCGTTCAGAGAAATAAAAGTAGAATGCTGTGATTTGAAGTGAAATAAATTTTACCAAAATAAGTACATAGGTATTTAAATGCCAATTTTACATACTCGTGAGTCTGATTATTTGTGTTAATGACTTTGTGCTCGTTTCGGGTAATAACTATTGATACGTACAAATCGAAAATCATGAAATTTTCCTATCATTTTCAATACAAAAATTTCAAATTTTCGATTCGTAGGAAAACGAGAATATGCCTCAATTTAACAACAATGCAATTGATTTTTAAATTTTGTGTTAAAGCGATTATAGAACATACTAAATTTTACACACTTCATAGAACTACAGCAAAAATTTTTTAAAAAATCTTACTAGCCTGAAATTGGTGTCCAAAATTATACTTTCGCGTACTAGTAACTTGCATGTATAAGTTAATGTGGAGTGCAAATTAAATGAAATAAACAAAGTACCGAAAAGTTATCAGAACATATCATAAATGATAATAAATATAAAAAAAGAAAGAAAAATCTGAAGATTTCTACATCAACGCAAGGGCAACACTTAAACCATAGAAAGAGGTATGTTTGGTAAAATGAAAGAAATTTTTCATTGAAAAAATATTTTCATATCTGTTAAATTTTGGTAAAACAACTTAAGCGGCTTTAAAAGGTTTGACTTTTAAACAAAAAGTAATAAGTTTATCTTCAAAAAATTTTTTTAGTTTTATAAAGCTTTTGTTAACAAGTAATTTTTAAGCAAAAAACACAACCGACTTCACTTCTCATATAAAAATGTATGAGTAACATAAATTTCTTCATGATCCAATGGTTAACGTTATGAAATCGGTTGACGTGGTCCAAAGTTAGGCTGCAACATACATTAAAAAAAAAAATATTTCGACAAATTGATAATCTTCTCCTTTTTTGAAGTCGATCAAAAAGGCAATGAAATATTGTGTGAGAAGCCAGTGAAATATTGCTTAAAATATAAAATGGCCTAACTCGAGTTAGGTTGGTTTATCAAAATGCGAAAAATATTATTATTACCTTATTATCACATTCGAACATCCCTTTATTAAAAATTGCTTGAATATTCGAAAATCGCGTATGCGCCGCATTCACCATACAGTTCAATCCAAATTGATGATTAGCTGGCCGCAAAATATGCGAATAGATGCTCGTGTAAAGTTTGCCTTTTAATAAGAAATTAATTCGATAATGACTTGTTGTTTATTTTCATTTCATTTTTGATTTTGAAGTAGCTTGCTTCTAAATCAGTGAGGTCATAAAATTTTAGTGAATTTTTTGTATGCACGCAATTATTTAAAATAAACCAAGAGCAAAAGTAATGAGTTCAATGTTAATGAATTTTGGTTTTTACATTCAATTAACAAATTAATTGGATAAACATTTGGAAGAACTATGATTTCTAATGAATTTAGGTACTTGGGCAGTTGTGAACATAAATACATACATATCAAATATGTAGCTGCAGGCGTGAGAACACATGTACTTACGTATGTATGTAGTTGGTAGAGGATTTGTTGGTAATAAAATTTTAATTAACGTTATCGAATATTCTATGTACAAAAGCGATGATATAAAAAGTTATAAAAAGTATATTGTACCTCTCTGCGAAAACATACAAATCGATCCATCGTCAAAGCGTTGAATTCATATTGGCGTCGAAATCCTACGATCTTTCTTCAAACATTTTGAAATTTTTTAATATTTCTAAACATTTATAGTATGTTCCGAAAATTTTATGTTTTTTTTTTATTCAACTTGGACTTTACTTTAAAATATTTATATATGCAAATATATCAAGTATTGTGTTAAGTGTAGTATACTAGTATGCTAGGGTAAACAAATATCCGCCAACTTCAGGCATAACAAATACTTGTATTTTATAGTTTTACCGCAGCACAGTGAGGTAATGAGTCTGTTCTACATTTCGTATTAAACATCATAATAATCGTTTTTAGTCAAAAAGTAAAAAAAAAATAATTGTAATGTCGTAAAATAATGAGAATTATGTGCGAAATTACTGCCTGAAACGTGTACAAACCTATTAACACAAATCATCAGACACACAAATATGTAATATAAAAACTTAAACATGCATATACATACATATATGTATGTATTAGGGTGCATCACTCCCAATACAAAAATATCGCGGATTTATTTTTCCATCGGCACTATAAAATTTATTATATTTTAAAAGTTCAGCTAAAACGTTTCGGTAGAATTCTGAGATTTACGTGAACTAGACCGATTTGCGCCTTGATGTTTTTACACAACGGGGGAGACTTACAGTTTTACACCAATTCCGAACGGCGATTGCATTTTTATAAGAATCTTAATATACTTCCAAAAAAAAAAATCGACGAAAGTCTTAAAATATAATAGAATTTATAATTCTCTTCATGTGAGTAAAATTGACAAATATACCGTCACAAACGGCCTACCTATAAACCGGACTCGACCTTCTGAAACTGAACTAAAGGGTATCGCATTGTTGAACCAAACTTCGACGTTCGCGTATACGATAGAGTTCTCTTTGAGGAAACTACCAAGACGAAGTCGAGAAGAAATCTATTTACCACTTACTGTGCCAGGCTACGCTTTTTCTCTGGCCGTGCAGAGATAGCCAAGCAGTGACTCTTGCACCTCCTCATATTAGTCCGGGAAACCAAGTGACTCAGGAGATATTTATATGTAGCTTCACTACCTTATGGAAACATGGTATTAAGGATGTGATGTGCCTCCTCCAGGCGCACTCGCACAATTTACCACGCCCCCGAGTGAAAGTAGTCTCCCTACATATTCGTGCCCCAAGTCAAGCTAACGGCATTATGATGTTCAAACTGTTTATTATTCTAGCTTTCTCAATACCGATCCACAGCCTCAATGGAATCGTTTATTTTTCTATCAAATATGAGTTAAGTTCTTTAGTGCACTTTCTAAAGCGCATAATTGTTCACTTGAGCAGAAAGTGCATTAAATAATTTAAAAGACAAATATTTGATGCGTCATTCTGTTTGTGAGAACGAGTAAATAATTTTTATAACTTCATACAGAAAATTTAGCGCACAAAGAACACGTCACTCATGCCTTGATGTTGCCCAAAGTGGCGTAGATTTTGATTTTCTTACAACAGCCGAGTAATCCATCAAATTTGCGCGAAACCATTCAGATACAAAATAGACTCTTTTCTTTGCTATGCAAAAGCGTTAACCGCCTTCCTTGCAGTAATCAGCTGTCTACTTTGGATAAACAAGCTGTCTGTAAGCAACTAAAGATAAACAACAGACCGCAAGGTAAATGCCTTAGGATGAAGTATGAGTATATAAACGAACGATGATGCCTTAAGAATAGCTTTGCATTTGTACATACATACATATTTTACAAAAGTAATTAAATGTAAGAAAATATTTAGAATTTACAACTTTCATTTTTATTTAATTTTCTTTTGGTATAAACACTATTGTTTTTTTTTTCAGGTCTTCCGTCAGCTAGAACGTCCGGCGGAATTGGAACGCTTGCAGTACTTGAAAGGTGTTGTGAAGACACACCGTGAAAAATTCATCACTACCATATTAAATAATACAGATGTTTTAAATTTAGATGTACTAATAGCAAAAGAATTAGCAAATTATGAGGTGGTAAGTAGAATTTTGATTATACAACTTAATTTATTGGAACACACTTAAGCTTATCAAAAACTAAAAGGTTGAAAAATGAATTGATTCTAAAAAGTATCAGTGCATTGGCTGGATGTATGTGAAGTTGGCATACGGAATGCCGCAAAAGCACAAAAAAAGCTGTTCTGAGTAGCTTCTTAATAGTTCTAGGGTTCTTTGAAATGAAAAAACGTTCTGGGGCAAATTACACTGGTTCGCAAATTTTTGTTTTGTTTTAGTTCTCCAGATACCACTATCCAATTCCTATGTAGAATTGCTCGGTGATTCCGAGTGAATTTTTTTTATGGATACGTTTTCGAGATATTTGCAATTCACCGTTATTCAGCCTAAAAAATACACCTTTAGCAGAAGAAAAATACAAAAATAACGAGTTTTTTTTTATTAAAACCTTGGTATACGAGGCAAGCAGTACGTTCACGACTGTTATAATCCGAAATATGTATTTTTACGCGACGAGTTGCTCGTTCACGACTGTTCAACGATTCGAGCCCAGGCTGTAATGCTCATCCCTGTCATTTACCTTGTTGAGGCGAATGCGTTCACCGTTCTTATTAAATATTGTAAAGTATAGAAACTGAAGATTATGGAAAGCTTATTTTGTTCTACGGGTAAAATACTTCGCGGTAGGGACTCACCATCGTTTAGGTCAAGTTAAGTTGAATGCCACTTTCTCGAACACTAGCGTTACCGGGTGTATAGCCTATCTACTTTCCCCTATAAAGAATACACGATGGAGAAGGCGAGCCTTATAAAATCCTTTTAATACCACAGTCTACGAGAAGAGCCTTATAAAACCTTTATAAAACCAATAGTTCTTCAAACTTCGTGTTTTGTGTAATCCGGGCATACCTGCATACCCAATAAGTACATGACATATGTATAACGAAAGTCCTCTTTAACAAATACTACGTTAAGCACACCTTTCTTTTGAAGAGAACCCTCTTTCAGCGTAGCAGGTATCAATAGAGTCAATAGTAACTTCTGCTTTATTTCAGCTAAAAGGTAAGACAAATTTCAAAAATCTTCAAAGTTTCATAGTCTATAACTTACAAGTTCGGCGTAGTTTGGCTGTGGCAAAGCACACCGGATGAGCGTACACACTCATAGAGCTGACTTAAAAAATAAAATCTTTCCCATTTTTTGCCCAAAGGCAAATTTTTTTCAACTTAAGTGATATATTGCAACATGGTTATAGAGAAGCTGTTCCAAAGAGTGTAAAAGGGGACTAGTTTCGTAGTATTCCAAAAGAGACTCAGTGTATACAGGGTGCTCCAGTGATAAGTGCTTTTCTTTTGGGAGGTGATAGGGGAAGTCTAGACGAACAAAAATTTGTACGGGAAGTGGGATCTAAAATCCAACCCTGGGGAGTTATAGGGTTAAGAAGATGATCGGCAGTGGTCATAAAAAAAATTCTCACGCCTAAACGGAAAACCCTAATGTAAATCTACCTATGGAGCTTTTTTCGCTAATTATATAAACTTTTTAGAAAAAAATACTTTTTGGGTGGTTTTTTAGTTTTTAGCGAAATCTGGGCTTTAAAAAGTAAAAATTTCAAAAAATTGTTACCCTTGTTTTACTTTGGCGGCCATTTTTGTATAAAAATGGTCCTATTGACCTATATTTTTTAATTTAGTTTCAAAATCGCCATGATATTTCCTTCAAACTTGCCCAATATATTTCATACAAATTTTTTGGTTTTATTCCGGAAAAAATTGTCTCCAACTAGTCTCTAAAACTTTGGCTAACATTGGATTTTGACATCTTGGATTGGCAAAATCTCACACTGTGCACCGTTTGCTATCCAATGACATATATTAGCACTTATCCTCGTATAATAATTATTATATGAAAGCACACATTTACATACATTTATAAATAAATATGTGCATATGTGTGTATGCACTCACCTACATACATACGTATCTACTAACACTTTCATCTCATTATCATCCACAGGCTGTACAGGAAGCCGCTGAGGGTGGTCTTCTCATTGAGGCCGATAAAGACTTTCCAGAGCCTTATGAGCGCTGGAGCATTTTACAAGCTGTGTTCTTCTCATCGACTGTGTTAACTACAATAGGTAAGAACCAGAGCAACAGATTCACTTAAACACATAGATATGAAGGTATGTAGATGCCAGAGCACCAGTACTCTTTTGCATAATTGTTATGAAAGCAAATTCATGTGGGAGTAATATACATATGTATGTATATATAGTATTTTAGTGTACCGAAATTTATGAATATACGTTACGGTGCCTCACCAAAAAGGAGTTGCGGTTTTTGCACCGGAATTAAAAAAAATTTGAAAATGCCTTCTAAAATCTCATTATTTTGATTTCATTCATAAAATTTTTGAACATTTTTATGCAGACCTCTTAAGCTTAAACTTTTCCATCATCTGATGTGAGTTTTGAAAAATTTTTTTTTTAAACAAATGTTGTTTATTATCAACAGTGGCGGATTTATCGTACAGGCAACATAGGCTGAAGCCTAGGGCGGCAGAATTAAGGGGCGGAAAAATTTAAGACAGCTAAATTAAAAGAAAAAAATTTATTTGGATTCAGCTGCACTTGAAATTGTGTTTGTGTCTGTAAAATATTATTAATGATTCATCTCATTCAATACAATTCAAAATTAGAATTACGCTGCGAATTTTTCCTTAGTATAGCAGTCGTTGAAATTTCCATTTAACTTTCATTCACGCGGCTTAGAAACCTGACGGCGCGCCTGCGCGTGACGCAAAGAAACAGCCGACACGCTGCCCCGAGAACGAGAATCATCTAAAAGGTTACCACACTTGACAACACTGCCGAAAAACGNGGCAGTGTATCTGTGTATGGTCTTGGTTTGTCGTATCAAAAAATCTATTCGAAATTTTCTCTCATCACTGATATGAAACA